TTGTCTGGAGATTGTGATCGTATGAGCAGTTCCTCCCTGGAGTCTGCGCAGAATTCCGATGTCCCAGACTAGCTGGGCATAGTCAGGGCCTGCAGCTCTGTGGAAGATGATGGTTCCTGCGACATTTCTGGGGAAAAAGGATTCTGTGGCCACATCAGCCTGGCCCTGGGGCACAATGAGGGACCAGGAAGGACCTTGACTCAGAAGTGTCAAAACTGACCAGCCTCAGGAGCCCCCACGCCCCAACCTACAGCCACTACCCAGTCCAAGAATGCCAGTCATGGGCTGTCAGACTGGCCTGCCCACTACTCTGTGCCTGGCTGGCCTCACTTGGGTGGCAGCTGGGGAACCGACATGGCTCACGCATGCCCCATGTGCCACACAGAGCTGGCTCGGGTGGGTGGCAGGCAGGCGCCTGAACTTCTCCTGGAGTCTGACTTACGAGAGCAGACATCTGCCAAGGACGGTGTCTGGTGAGCATGTAGCCGTGTCTGGAGGGAGGGCCTAGAGCTCGTTGCTGCAGCCACTGGAGACAAGAGGGCAGAGTGCTCAGGGAGAAGGCCCATGGCCTGTGTGCTGTGGGCAGTGGGCTGTGGGCCATGGGCCATGGCTGTGGGTTGTGGACTGTGGGCTATGGGCTGTAGGCCATGGGCCATGGTTGTGGCTTATAGACTGTGGGCAGTGGGCTGTGGCCTGTGGGCTGTGGGCCATGGGCCATGGCTATGGGTTGTGGACTGTGGTCAGTGAGCTGTGGGCTGTGGCCTGGGGACAGTGGCCTGTGGGCTGTGGGCTATGGGCTGTAGGCCATGGGCCATGGTTGTGGCTTGTAGACTGTGGGCAGTGGGCTGTGGCCTGTGGGCTGTGGGCCATGGGCCATGGCTATGGGTTGTGGACTATGGTCAGTGAGCTGTGGGCTGTGGCTTGGGGACAGTGGCCTGTGGGCTGTGGGCTATGGGCTGTAGGCCATGGGCCATGGCTATGGCTTGTGGACTGTGGGCAGTGGGCTGTGGGCTGTGGCCTGGGGACTGTGGGTTGTGGCCTATGGGCAGTGAGCTGTGGGCTGTTGCCTATGGACAGTGGCCTGTGGGCTGTGGGCTATGGGCTGTAGGCCGTGGGCCATGGCTGTGGCTTGTGGACTGTGCGCAGTGGGCTGTGGGCTGTGGACTGTGGACTGTTGGCACTGGCCTGTGGCCTGTGGCCTGGGTTGTGGGCTGTGGACTGTGGACTGTGGCCTGTGGACTGAGCTCTGGGCTGTGGCCTTGGACAAGTTGCTGCACATCCCCGTCCGTGGGCTGGGCGTAAGTACCCATGGTGAGCTCATGGCATATAGTGAGCTGCTGTGCCCAGCACTCAGGGCAGGCTGGAACAAGTGCTGTGCTCATCACCATGGCGGCATCGTGGCAGGGCCTGGAGGGTCTGTGGCCATTGCTCAGAGATGCCCCAGCTCAGTGGAGAAGGCCTGGGGCTGGACCAGGGAAGTACCTGGGCAGAGGCGGCATGATCTGTGGTTTCTGCTCTGGAGGGGAAGCTTGCTTACAAGGGGAGGGAAGCCTCAGCATGTGGCTATGGTCTTGAACTTCATCCCTATCAAGAAAGAGGGATGCCCTGGAGGCAGCAAAAGGGTCGGGGAGGTTGCAGCCTGGCTGGCAGGGTCTGCAGGGAGCCATAAGAGGTGGACAAGGCCCAGCAGGTGTGCAAGCCTCAGGCAGAGGTGGGAGGAGAGGAGAGGACCCCATGCCAGCCTGAGCACTGCGGCGTCCTGGAGGCTGCAGCCTACACTGGATTCCGTCTTCTCTGTAAGGAGCAGCCGTCCCTCCAGCCCTCGAGAGGTGCCTGGATGCCTCAGTCAGGCCGCGGTGAGGGGAGGCGCCTTTTAGGGTGCAGAGGACTCACGGCGAGACTGTGGGACTAGGGAGAGAACTCGGCTTTGGCAAACTAGACACGTGTGAGCCTGACCTAGCTTTCAGGCACGAGCCTAGAGCAGGGATGTTTGTGGGTATGGAAGTCCTGACCCCCAGACAACTGCCTCTATGTTAATAAGACCCCAACAGACGCGTTAGCAAGGCTGCGGCTCCTTCGCTCCCTGATCAGCTGGTGGAGCCAGAGCCCCCAGCGGGGAGTGGAAAGTGTGTTTTGAATTTAGTAAGGTGTTGCGAACTCACATACGCTGCGAACAAAGTTGGCGGCTGAACACACATGAGATTTGCTTTCCCTCCTGAAGTCCTGGGATGGGGCAGTGAAGGGATCTCGCCAAAAGTGCAAAGCCACGTGCTCAAAGGAGAGCGTGAGCAGCAGTGTCATGGCAGCTGGAAGAGGGGAGTCAGTGGCCGACACAGGAAGCAGAAGGCTAAGCTGCTGCCAGAGCCCTCAGTGGCACAGAACTGTCAGTGCCTGGCACCCTGGTGTCTGTGCAAAGGTCGCCTTGGTAGATGAATGACTGTGTGAGAGCAGCTGCACCCAGAGCCGTCCCTCCATCCCGAGATGGTCCTCACAGCTGCGCCCAGAGCTGTCTCTCCATCCCGAGATGATCCTCACAGCTGCAC